CGGCAGTGGGGCGGACGCATGAGGGCAGAGAGGACCCCGCGAGCGAAGTGGTCCAACGTCCCTGGTGGGCGGGCCACGAGGACGACGCCGTCGACTCCCCGACCAGCGCGGACGCTCCGGCAAGCTCGCTGGCACCTTCCTGGTCCGCGCCGGCCAATGAAGCCATGGAGCCGCAAGCCCAAGCCGAGGAAGCAGACGGACTGGACAGCCGCGTGCATAGCTCGGACAGCAAGACGGCGGGCGACTCCGGTGCGCGAGCTGATGTCCCGAGTGCTCCCACGCTGGCTGTCTTGGCGGCTGCGTCGCGGACTGCAGACTGGCAGCCGTCGCTGCGGGCGGCAGAGGCAGCGGCGCGCGACAGACGCGTGCCTCCCACCAGTCCCCCACCGATCATGACACGCGCGCCCACGGGTGAAGCAACGTCTGGGGACAGACTTTGCCTCGCCCGGCAAGCGCAGGGCGAGCGCTGACGGTCGACGAAACGTGGGCTGGCTCCCCGTGGACTCGTGAACACTGGGATCACTTCACCTGGGACTGGGACTGCAGAAAACAAAGAAAGGGGCGAGCTTGCCCAGAAATGGTCCCACGACAAGTCGTGATCGACTTCATATACTCCCTGCCAATGTGTGGGCGGCAGCCGGCTGGCACTGGCGCCCCGCCAGCCTTGGCAGGCCCGACTGGCCAGCCCGAAGCAGTCGAGGGCCCTGGCTCGGCCAGACACCTACACCTGGCTGGCCTGGCTGGTGCCTCCAAGAAACAGCTCGTTGCCCGCATCAGGCGGCTGGGGGGCCAAAGCAAGATAGCTTGGAGAGCTCACTGCGCGCAGTCCGGCGGCAACGCGCTAGGCCCATGGTGGCATGGCGTGCGCTTCCGTGCGATTTCCTCGCAGCGTGTGAATAGGCACCGCGGTGCAGTCTCCTGTGTCAGGCGGTCAAGCACTGGACAAACACCGATCTGTCGCTGTTTTGCCATTGGACACACCGTCAGTCGCTTTGGTCACACACACACACCGATGAATCGCTTGTTGCGCCCTGCTACTCACCACTTTACTTTCGCCCATGTCCTCCACCCATGTTTCGGCCGGTCGATATCTCCCAGAGGAGGGGAGCGATGCCGACAGGACTTTCGAGGGCGACATCGTGCCGTGAACGACGGCGTGAGCTGGTCTTAGGCTATTATATGCCTTGCCCTCACCCACGCTCTGCGATTGGTTGGTTTGGGCACGCGCCGATCTGTCGCCTCCTGATTTTGCCGTGTTTCACCCGTGTTTCACTCTCCCTTGCTTCGCCACTCCTGGCCTTTGGCCATGTGGCGTTCTGTTTTCTGTCGATTGTGGCGTGGCGTTCCCGCCACCCTCCGGCGGCGGTCCCCTCTGCGGTGGTTCGTCGGTCCCCTCCTTCTCCTTATTGTTCACGGGGTTCGCTCGATCGTCGCTGTCGTCGGTCGGTCGTGGGCTCGGCCGCATGGTGGGGTCCCCCGCCGTCGTTTCTCAGGGCTCTCTCCCTGCCTCTGCCCCTGCTTGCTCTGTTCCCACCCCCTCCCTCTCCTTCCGGGTCGTCCCCGCCGCGGGGGGGTGAGCCGCTTCTGCGTGCGCGCTGGCGGTCTTTGCGGGCGTGGTACGCCTCCTTTGTGCCCTTGTTCTTCCTCCTCCTCCTCCACTTTTCCTCTTCTACGGGGCGTCTTTGGTCGATTTGGTGGCGACCTTCACTCCGGTGCGTGCAGTGCACCTCGCGTCTTTACCGCGCTGCTCGGACCGCGCCCTACCAATCTACATATTCCGGTCGGCGCCTCGATTGCAACTTGTTTTCGGCCAGCCTGGACGTGTCACTGACACTGGCCTCTCTTGGTGGCTTGGCTATATACCAAGGATTTGACGGCATGGCGAATTTGGCTGGTTTCGGCCCCGCAAGTGCGTGTTTTTGCGTGCGCTGCGTTCTGTCACCACCAAATCTATGCGGCCTTCGCGTCGAGCTCGCTGTTGTGATGCTGCCGCGGCCTGTCGGCCTAACACTCCGCCCTGGCTATCACTCTGCGCTGCCGGCTCTTAGGGCAGCACCCGCTCCATCGTCTCGCCTGGCCATTGCCGTCTGCGCTGCCCCACCAGTCGGCTGGTCTGGTAGCTTTGCAAGTTGTAATCCCGCCCCGCTGGTTAATTAGCACCAGGCTGCTGCTCGCGCTTCAACTCCTGGCGTCGAGCCACGCTCCGCGGGATGATCGGCAGCTGTGCTTTGGCTTTGCGCTGCCTACTTCTTCTCACCACCACCAACAATCTGCATGGCCGTGGCTGGATTCTTTCATCACGGCACGTTCGACGAAGCTCGTTCGCAATTGGTACCTCCACCTGCCGACCGCGCCTGAGGTTCCTCTGCGCCACCGACTTAAACATGTGTGTGTGTGCGTGTGTGTGTGTGTGTGCGTGTGTGTGCGTGTGTGTGTGTGTGTGTGTGTGTGTGTGCGTGTGTGTGTGTATGTGTGTGCGTGTGTGTGTGTGTGTGTGTGT